AATCGTTATCAATTACGTGACTTAATAAATTTGTTTGATCGCTTGGAACTTCAAATATATAATGCTACTGTTGGGACTTCACTTGGAAATTTACCACAAGCACCACGTGCCAGTATTGTTTTCTTCAGAACGAATCGTAAAGTCTGTGATGATTGGTTTTCTCGTATTAGAACAGGAATTGTTAAAAGTGCTAAAATCATTGGAGATGATGCTCTGGCCGTTATGCACGGTTTTCGGGTATTTTGTATACTAGTTATCTTTTGCTGATATAGTTTGCTAGTATTTCGACTTAACAAATTTGAATTTAATATTAATTGGTAGGCACTTGCACAACGAGTAGTTTCACTAAATCAAGGACTGATTACCAGTGAAAATATTTGGTTGACAGACTTTCAACAAATTTTGAGTGATGTCGGTAAGGCAATACTGCTTTGTGTTAGATAAGGATGATCCCATAATAAAGTTATTTGGGTTCGTAATACAAACACATTTATCTATAATGATGCCACCTGTCGCAACACTAGTTGAATGTCTGCAAAGATTACATGCTGGCGATAGTATTATTGGGCTTTTAGCATGGTCTCGACGTATCTGCTCGAGTGACAAAAATCAAGAAGCGAGTTTATCGGATCACACTAATGACCTTACCGCGGGTGAAAACATTGAACCAGTCAACTCTACTCAAAGTTCGTCTAATTTTGCGTTACAAATATGATTATCTAATAGTAATTAAGAATGCAAGTTACTTAACGTATTACTGACTATATTGTTTGAAATATTTTTTAACAAAAAAAAAGCATCTCAGCGCAATCTAGAGCATAAACCTATTTCAAATCAGGCAAATTTTGATTGGATGAATGGGTCTCATTTGTTCGCGGAATCTAGATATGAACTTGCTGCAAGTAAAGCTATTGATTCTTTTGACTGCCTTCTTGAAGTTGATCCTGAAATGCAAACTATTTTGCCACAAGCTCGATTTTTGAGCTCTCAAGTAAGCAAAATCCTATTACAATATAACTCTGAATTTAAGCAACCAAAACAGACGAGACCTTCATATGCTAAAATAAAAGGCTGGTTCTTACGTGAGGACAAATTAGCCTTAATGCATGTTAAAGTTTTGATACAAGAGATGCTGCTTAAATTCAGCTATGCTGCATATGTTTTATTAACATAACCGATGTGATCTGTTCTAATTTAATGGATTATAGATAATTGATAGCTATTGTATGATGCAAGATTTGTCTTCATTAGCACAATGGGTTCATGCACATGATGAAACTGAAATAATTGTAGATCCCTTGGTAAAGATAAATCAAGACTATTTAACAGTGCTTGCAAAATATCACGATAGTGATTACTTGGATGCATGGAAGCTTATTGATAATGTTCCACCACAAATATCACAAAAATATCTCAATTATCGTGGTGCTAACTTTATCCCAATATTATGCCTTTTACGTGAGAAGCTTTTTAATTTAGCCAATGAATGTCCTACTACTGGGACGTTGAATCAGCAAACAACTCTGTGTGTTTTAGAGAATATTGTTAAGCAATCTTTTACGGACTCCATGATGAACATCATCCCTCTATTATTAAGGACAATTACAATGAAGTCTGAAGTTCAACAGCTTCACCATTTTTTATCTGAATTTGTGGAATACATAAATATCAATCAAAAATTTTCGTTTAGCGATACATTTGTTATTGATTTATCTGTGTGGAGTCCATTAAATACAGCCGTTGACCAATTACTTTCGAGCCCAGAATCTGAAACATTAAAAGAAGTTGATACCTTTAAACTTATAATGGCCAAAATTGCTAGAAAAAGTTCTGCTTTAAATTATGCAGCCCATATCTTTGATCATTGGAAGAAAGATACTCCTGCGGAAGTTGTATTTGAACATTCTAAAATGTTATTTGCTCAAGGATTATATCAAGAAGCCATAGTCCGTGTATGTTCACTTTTGCGTGATGAGCAACATCCGTCCTTTGCATTTTCTGAGACTCTAATTTTCCGTCAAAACGTGCTTTTAAAATTGGCAAAATGGCTACAACATACAGAATCTCAATTAGACGGCGAGACTTTATCTGATTTAAATCTTATTCTCGGAAAGTATATTGGTAGCCAAGGTTTGGATGAAATTAATTTAGAACCAAATTTAATAAATAGTAACCTGGTGGAAGCATGCTTATTTAGTGCAATTAATGAAGAAAGTTCTACTGCGAAGGCTTGGTTTGCCTATGCTTCATATCACTATCAGCATGGCCGACAAATAGTTGATGAATTAGGCAGCTATAAGTTATCTATTGACTTATTGAACACTATTAACAGAAAAATTCAGCAAGTTTTAACTAATGATTGGAAAATTTCAAATGGTGATAATCTTACTGATTGTGATATGATAATAAAAGTACTTTTATTCTTTCTGTTTTTAGTGTTATCTTGACCATATTGCAAGTATGTGACACTGTATTCTTTTACATTTAATTAAATATAGAACATATTTCGCATGTTTTTACGTAAAATCAGTTCTCTGTCAAAGTTGGACCAAGGCGGTGATAATGTGTTAGATTTCAATGCAACCCTTCCTTGGATTTCACAAAATTCAATGGATGAGATTACAAATTCATTAAATAAAATACAGAAGACGCTATTCATTGCTTATAAATCGGCTGTTGATGGCTATTTCCGATTCTTACAGTCTGCACATGGAAGAAATAATGTCCAAAATATTCCAGCGGTAACTTAAATGGTTTATTAAATTGTTTAAACTAGTTAAAATAATATGTATTAAATTTTTTTTTTTATTTTTTATAGCATCTTCGCGTAGAACGTATCGAAGAGTCTGATATAACAACTGCAACTCTAAGGATTTTAAGATTACTAGTGAAGCATGGACTGCTTTTTGAAGAATCGTTTGTTGAAGGGTTTAACAATACTAATATTCGTTCATGGGAAAATATAACACCGCAATTGTTTTCGCGACTGGATCATCCAGAACCTTTCGTTCAGCAGCAGCTTTGTAAACTTTTATGTTCGATTGCTTCTGTTTCGCCACAGCTCGTTGTATATCACACTGTTGCTGCCTCAAATTCTAGTGGCACTAGCGACTTAAACAAGCAACTACTCCAAAGAATTGCTGACAGTCTTGATAATTCCAATGGAACATTGATCATAGAAATTCGGCGTGTGATTGAAGAGTTACAGCGCATTACGGTCTTGTGGGAAGAGCTTTGGCTCAATAAAATAAGTGGTTTACAACTTGATGTCAACAGACGATTTCACAAATTTGAACGCGAATTCGAGAGAATAAATGATAATCTTAACCTTTCTTCCGAACAACGTAATAAAATTATGAAAGAAAGTTACGACGCTATTATGAAGCCAGTGATTTTATCTATCGATCGATCATACAATAGTACTATTGCTGCTGCTTCAACACATCATGAGAAATGGTTTTGTCGGACTTTTGGTAATCGTATTTATGAAGCCTTGGAAGCCATACGTTCTCCATTTTCATGGGAATCATATAAAACGGGTTGGGATCTTCTGCGCAATGTACGTAAATTGTTGTTATAACGATCTGAAATCGAATATATTTACTTATCTGAATTCATTTACATTTTTTATTAAGGTTCACAAAGATTTATCGAAGGAATTAATGTCAAATCGTTCATTAAAGTTAGTTGATGTTAGTCCATTTTTGGCAACGATAAAATCTTCCGCAATTGCCATGCCAGGCTTACCATATCAAATGGATACAGTGACAATCCAATCATTTGATGAAAATTTTATTATTCTACCCACAAAAACTAAGCCCAAAAAATTGGTTCTTCTTGGGTCTGATGGGCGACAGTATGGCTACCTTTTCAAAGGCCATGAAGATCTTCATCTTGACGAACGGATTATGCAACTATTACAAATTACTAACGATCTGCTTAAGCGGGATAGGCAAACGAGCGCCCGAAATTTACGTGCACGCAATTATGCTGTCATCCCTTTAGGAAACCACTCGGGAATGATTCAGTGGGTAGAGAACGCTACTCAAATATTTGTACTTTACAAAAAGTGGCAACATCGTGAACATTTTGCCAAAGTCTTACAAAACAACACTGATGAATCAGTTGGAAACCCGCAGCGGCCTAGCGACATGTATTTTGAAAAGATTGGCAAAGCTCTAAAAAAAGAAGGTTGGCCTGCTTCCACTTCGAGGCGTAATTGGCCTCATTCTGTTCTCAAATCGGTGTTTCTTGAATTAGTATCAGAAACACCTTCAGATCTACTTGAAAAGGAGGTCTGGGCATCTTGCTCAAGTCCAAAAGAATGGTGGATGAAAAGTACTTCTTTGTCACGTTCGCTTGCAGTCATGTCCGTTATCGGCTACATAATTGGTCTGGGAG